GCCGTCATGAGTTGTCGCCAGCCTGAAGAGCAGACTGTACTTCGTAGATGAATTTCGGCTGCCGAAGGCTGCCTACATGAAGGCCTTGAGAACTTCAGCCATCTTCATCCTAAGCTGTCGAGGAGCACTCCTCACGAGACATCCTAAGCCTTGTCAGGGCCCCCAGTATAGGTAGCTTTGCATCTACACCTGCCGGTGAAATCTGCCGGGCTAAGAACGCTCATGGGTGCTCGTAGGCCAAGCCGATAGGAATCGGACGGACCGAAGCAAGCTTCCCTTCGAACAAGTCCCGAGGTCTTCACAGCAACCTCCCCGAATCTTCATGCCTCCTGCATGGAGCAGGTGTGGACGAGTCCGGCAAGCCGAAGGCTGCAGCTCCGGTTGCTTTGCAGGCGATTCAGAGCTGACACCCAACTGAGGCTGCCTTGCCACCTCCCGTTTCCTCGCCGCATGGATCTCAATTTTCTATTCACGGTCGAAGGACAGCATGCTTGGTGTGTTTTGTTGGAACACGAGGCAACCTCTGACAGCAGAGTGACTCGGCTTCAGTCCCCTTTGAGAGGAGTGAGAAGTGCTAATCTCGCATGGAACAATCCAAGGTACGTCGCCGCACTGATGAACTCAGAGCAGCTTTTCGGGGATCTGTGCACGTCCCACCCTTGGCAAAAAGTCTCACACGGTCTGCCTGGCAGAGAGCACGGAAAATTTGCATTCAAGTAAGGATCAACTTTCGCAAGTATGACACCAACAAAGATGGACGTCTTCAGCGCTGGGCTCGGCCTAGTCAGCACATTTCGGCTACCCATGGTCCTTGGCCAAAGTGAGCTGTGCTGCGGAGCTCTGCTGCGAAGGATGAAGGAGGCCACAAAGCTCTGCCAAGACTTACACTTGAGCTGCTCGGGATGCGTTCAGGGCGTAGAGGACTCTGATTCTGTGGCAGAATCATAAAGGCATGGGCATGTTCCTTGACGACGAGGACATCAAGGCCCGCTGAGAATTTGCTGCTCCGTGCCGCGGTTGGGTTGGAAGCAGGCGGCCGTTGAGCTCACAAAGGACTTCGCTGGAGGCAGCTTATCACAGCTTTGCAAGTTGTCCGCGTGTCATGATGAGCTGTGATGCATCGAGGAGACAAAGACTCTCTTTCTGAGGAGGCATGCATCCGTCTGAACTCGCGAGCCGTTGAATCTGACTGCACCAGGAATTCGCGCGCTGGTTCCGGGAGCTTTTGAAGGACCAGTGATGCACCGGCCAAGCACAGTACCTCGCACATGCCCAAAGTCTCGGGCCAGGAGAGCGTCACTGGCCGCATTCAGAAAGTTGCGTCAGCACCCTACGCGGCCTATGCGACACTGCTGAGTGCCCTTGCATACCGAGTCTGCATCGCCTTTATGATGTGCAAAAGGCGGACACCGCCAGCACTGCTGAGTGTCACAGCTCGGGTCTCATAAAGTCTTGCTTTACGTCTTTGCACGGCGCTGCGTTCTGTCGTTGTTTCGGGCACGGCGCCGTGGAGGTGAAGTCCATGGCCGGAACTGAGAAGGTAGTCGAGGCCGGAACGATTTCAAGCAGGGCAGCATGCAGAGGCACATGACTGAATTACAACCATCGGTGAGGAAGCAATTTGATAGAGGCTGCCTACCTGACAGTGAGCTGTGCAGGTTCCGCGCGACTCTGATGTGTCAACCCTGGCAGAAGCCGCGGCTGCCGCAATGGATCTGCCCTATGCGCAGACGAGGATCTCAGTGAATGGACAGGCCCAGCCTGACCCGCCTTGGCCTTGGCTCAAGTGATGTGCTGCCTGCAGGTCCTGCCAGACAGAACACTGCCGCAGACCCAGAGACTTCAGCTGAAAGCCACAAAAGCACACCCCTGTGCTGCAGAGCCGAAGTGACATTCACGACAAGCATGCATGCTCAACATGTTAATGATGCACTTTGCTGTTTGGAGGGTGGGGTCGTGGACTCAGGTTGTCAAGCCTCGAGTTGGAGCTTTCTTCTGACCCTGAAGTGATCGCGGTCGTGATGAACAAGCTCAAGGCCAAGCCTACATACTTGCGTATAATTATCATGCCGTCAGCGAGACATGTGCAGGTCCGACGACATGTATACAAAGCGCCCGGCGCCTGTATTCTACTGGATTTTGCTTCCAAGCTCGCGTGCCTCCTCCAGGCATCTGCAAAAGTTGCAATCTGCAGCCCTATGACCCTATGAATCACCAGCAACAAAATCGCAGTTGCCCATGAGCGATTCAGAACATCTCGCGACCAGCGAACACATCTTATGCAGTTAAGCGGTTTCCTCAGGCGGGGAGGCGCGCCGCCTCACCGTGGCTATCACCTGGTGGCCACGGATGAGGCTGCGCTTTTGATGTCAGATTTGTGGGTTACAATTCCTGGTGCACTGCCAGATCGATCTGGCTCCGAACGCCAAGATCTCAGAGCAATTGGAAGTTCTGGCCTGAAGCCCAGCGAAGCGGAGAGCCAGGAAAGGCCTGGGCTTGCGACGCCTGCGACAATTTGCAAATCTAAGGTACCACCAGATGGGATTTCACGACGAACGCCAGATAATTACAAGCTGAAGGCTGGAATTGTGCAGTGAGCAGAAGACAGACGGATACTGGACAGCTTCCAGGCTTTTCAGGCATCTCCAAATGAGCAAGCACCCCGGAAATGGGAAGGCGGCATGAACGAGGCCAGACCAGTGGATTCTGCACGATTCTTGACAACCTACGGTTTGCGTGACTCAGGGTGCACTCTACTCGGTAAAGCACAGGGCCGAGCCAATTTCCGTGACTGGAGGTAGAGCCCGACCTGAGCCTCACTGCCGAAGAACTCTTCGGGACTCTGCAAAACGCTGAGACCCCAGACAAGAGCTGCATGCAAGTAGCCACAAGCCATCGTGTTAACAAACTCCGTGGTGCCTCGAGGGGAGCAGCCCCGACAGACCCTGCGCGTGTTCAAGTCGCTGAGGTTGATCTCGCGGTGATGGTTCCAATGGAGGGGTTTGACTGACACTAGCTTGCCGTTGTAGCATCCACTTTAGTTTGTTACTTAGGGAGATGCTGGTGCTGTAGATGCAATGCCATGCGAATGCAAGGTAAGCATCTTAGCATAGCCACGTTTGAACCACGCCGTCCGGTGGGAAACAGTGCCTTCTGCCCGCAATGGTGAATAGCTGTCGAAATGGAAGGAACAGCTGATGCAGCCTGTCTGTTCTGCAAAGCCTGAGGCTCATAGGGACCAGAATGTGTATGTAGGTGAGGCTGTTAGGTTGACGTCCATGTTGCAGCGAACCCTAGTTTCTGCGCGAGTCGTGGCCAATTCAGCCCAGATACTCTCGAAGTATCGCGCATTCTCAACTCGGGAGTTGATCGCCATTACTGACGTGAGGAAAGGTATGACGATAAAGATCGAGGATAAGTACTGCGATGTGAAGGAATGGAACCCTCACAAACAAGGCCGAGGAGCGGCAGCTTACAACATCACCTACGATGAGCTGGACACAGGCAAGGAGAAGCTGCACAAATTTACATCCTCCTCTAAAGTCGTCAAGATAGAGCCAGACAGAGAAGAATGCCAAGTCCTATATACGAAAGGCTCAGGGAAGGAGGAGAAAATTGTGGTGTTGGCAGATGCTGAGTACAATGAGGTGGAAGTTCCTCTTGCTCGTTTTCAGGGCCACTCCAGTGTGCCGGATGGTGCAACAGCTGTGCTCTACAAGGATGACGGCGAAATCATGAAAATCGTCGTGAAGCAGTAGCTGCTGTGAGCTTGCAATTTTCAGATCTGGTCTCCAACCATCCCGAAGACACAGCGCTGTGCAACGGGGTCGGCAAAATGGGGCCGCCAGTGTTGTGAGGTTGTCGTGCAACTGCATTGCAAGCCTCGTGCCCGGCAGAGTTTGTCCTCAGGAAAACCCTCTAAAAAGAAAGAGCCATGCAGCAATAGGGATATGTTGGGAGGCTCCGGGAGGCTAGAGGGCTCAGCGAGGTGTGTCTATTGAACTCCAGGGAGTTGCGCCATGGCTGGCCTGGTCCCCGAGGAGCAAAGCGAAGATGCAGGAGACCGTAGAACGCTGTAGAGCCGTAGAGTCTTGTTTTAAACCCTAGCAGCTTTCAGAGGTTTTAACTGCAGCCCCAGGCATTTTCCAGAAGCTTTTCGCTCTGATTGACTCAGGGAAAGAGGCGGGCAGGGCGGGATCAGACAGTGGTGCCTGACAGTGACTTTGTTTGGGAAACAGGCTGATGTTCTCGCAAGCCTCGATCAACATTTCGGAGGAAGTCCGAACATTGCGGATGAAGCAGCCGGAACAACACCTTTGCTGATTGCAACAAGGGAAGGCAAAACGGAGATCGTCCAAGCATTGATGGGCAAGAGAGCAGATCTGATGATGGCGGATCTGGATGGCGACAACCCGTTGATGGTTGCTATCTCTCAGGGGCACAATCACATCGTGCCTTGCCTGCTCCTGTTTGCTTCGCCTCAAGTCTCATCAAGCGGGTGACCCGTTGAGCGAGGTGAAGAGCTTTCTGCATGCAGATCGAGGCTGGCTCAACATCTTGCATGGCCCGCTGACTGGCGCTTCACCAAGAAGCCCAATCGGATCACTATCTTAGCCGATGGCAGAAGTATGCAGAAGTCCTGCCTTCTTGTCATCCACTCGTCAACTTCTGGATCATTGCTTCGGAGGCGTCGACGTGGATGTGCCGAACAAAATTGGCCAAACTCCGTTGATGAAAGTCGGCTGCCCGGAACTTGATGGCTGTCCGCAGCGGGCGATGCTTCAGCCCCTGGGCAGGCTGCGAACAAGGCCAATGTCGAGTGTGCTGCGGGCTGATGAATCTGAAGAGGCTTTGTCAAAGCGTGTGGCTTGTGGGTTCCTCTTCCAAGCCGGTTTAGGTCAAGATGCTGCTTGAGTGTAAGAGCAATCCAAATGCAAAGCGGGGCCCTCGGATGTCCAGCACACTCACTGGCAATTGAACGCCATTGCCAAGTTACGCTGCGCTGAGGACCAAGTTCGGCAAGACGGCACTCATGCAGGCTGCTGAGAAGAACAGCCTGGAATCTGTAAGGGCACTGTTGACGCTCGACGGCAGCTACTCGTACGTTCAAGGGTGCAGGTTGTGAGTTTTGTACCGTTGCAGCTATGCGGCTACGCGTACTTGGACTTGAGTCGGCCTTGACTTCGCATGTTTGAGGAATGCTGGCGCAGACATTGCCATGGCGGACGACAGGGGCTTCACTGCATTGAGTCTTGCTGTCAATCGCATTCTCTTGTGGTACAAGTTACTATTCAAACGATGAAATGCAGTTCGAGTTCAGCATACACAACATTGCTTGAGCTTTGAGCCGTCCTTGCTGCAGGTTCCCGGCGGCTTTCCGCTGCGAAGTGCCCATGCTGGAGTTGCTGCTGTCTTCCAAAGCAGACGTCACCACAAAAGCAAAGCCGGGAACGGCGCTCATGATGGCGCGCCCTGTGTGATTGCATAGAATGTCGCAAAATGCCTTTGCAGTCAGCATTTTCGAGGCAGTGGAGTCGCCTTCTTTCAAGCCGGATGCCATGACACTGCTTTTGAAACATGGCTGCCCTCTTGACGAAGTGGCTTCGGACGGGGACACTGCCCAGAACTGAGATTCCATGTTTCATGCTCTTCACAACGACAGCCGGTAACTCCGAGCCGTGCTAGGCCTTGATGAAGGCGGTGGAGGAAGCGAACGCAAGACCCTTACCGAGATGGTTGCAGCATTACAACGTCGCGCACAGAGAGCTTATCCTGCCGACAGGCCTTTAGTTACAGGGACACAGGGGCATGAACTAGGTCCAAGGCATCCTCAGGCCGTGCGGCAGAAGAGATCCCCACAGGATCAGACGCAGCGTTCCCCTCCCTGCCGCGAGTCACGGATGGACAACCAGGGGCTCAGAGTAACGCGGACAAAAGGGTGGCCAGACTCGCTACTCCAAAGGTCTGGCCAGCCGTCGGTGGTTCTCGAGTCCGGACGTTGCTCCCTTTACTTGATCACTCCTTTTGCAGTGTCCTTGGGAAGGCTCTTTTTGGGTTCGTTGCTGCATCGGAGGAAAGGCTTGAGCTCGGGATCGGTGTGATGGCTAGATGTGCTTTTTGCTGTGGAGGTCCCTCCGGAGGCTCGGCGTGACTGGCTTGTGTGCGTTTCGGGTGAGTGCTGCAGGCATGCCCTCTATGCCCTGTACTCTGAGTGTCCTGAACCTGAGCCGGTGGTGGCACATTGACGACACACACAAATCAAGCGAATGATATCGTCGCACCTCGTTCCATGTGTGTCTGACAACAGACCATGCCACGTCGCCTAGTGGGGAGTTCCTGGTGGACGGACGGGCGTGGAGCATCTTTCCATCGAATGGGCATTCTCGCCGCAACTGCGTGTGGGGGGACAGCTAGGCAGCGTGCATGCCATGTCGATCTTATCGACTGCCTTGGTGAAACTCGCCTGTAAGGTGGATGCTGTGGCAGCACTTGTTGCAGCCGGAGCGGACACAGCCAAAACGAACCAGGAGCCCTCAGATCATGAGAGAGCTAGGTGCGCATGCATGCCTTCTGGCATAGGCAGACACAGAGCTTGATGGCTCAAAGCTACAAGCATTCGCTGAGTACAGTAGACTTTGCTTCGAAGATGATCCAGATGCCGTGCCAGTGCGAGGAGGGAAGGACGGCCATGGATTTGGCGAAACAGCGAGGCTTCAAAGCCTGCCAGGAGCCACTTGGAAATGATGATGTACCCTTGTGTTCATGTGTATGTATCTACAGAAATATGTGTAAATTATATGAGAAAATATTCATATACATGTATATATATATATATATATATGTATATATGCACAGTATATACTGCTACCGACCTACCTACCACGGCCACAACCCTAAACCCACCCTAAACCCTACACCCCAAAAGACCCACTCCAAACCCTAAACTGTGTACCTAGCTTCAGCCCTCAGCTTGAACCCAACAGCCACCCCAGACCCCAGACTCTAAACGCAGCTGACATTCTAAACAGCAAGCCCAACCTAGATCTTTTTTGTGGCTTGGGGACGGGATGTCTGGAATAGCATGTAGAGAACCCTACAAAGCGAGCCCCCAGAAGCTGAGCTTGCAGTTTCGGGTTTGGGCTAGGGGGCTCGGGACTGAAGGACTAGTTGCTCTAAGAACATGGCGAACCCGAAAGCCATCCTAAAGCAGGGTTTGCAGCTTCTGGTCGGGTCTAGTGGGTTCGGCGCTCCAGGTTTGGGTTCTGGCATAAGCTAGTAATTCCATTGCCACCCTGAACCGGGTTTGTGGCTTGGGGTTGGGGCTCAAGGATTCGGTTCTGGCAGAAGGTGAGACTGCAGAAACCCGCGCCGCTAGTCGCCAGATTAAGGCGGAGGCCGGCAGGGCCTGGATAGGGGGTTTTCTTAAGTTTGTCCCCGGGTGCCAGGGGCCATGGCCTTCGCTAGAAGTGCAAGAAAGCTGGGCACCTTGGGTTTTCGCTAAACGCGACCCGAACAAGGTGATAGCTGCACCGCAGCGACTGGCCACTCTTGTTGCGGTCAAGCTGTGGCTGCCGAGGAGCTGTCTGCTAAGAACTGCGAGCTACAGCTGCAATGGATCAGGAGAGACTTGAACCAGCTAGCTGACGATTTGACGAACGAGAACTTCGCTAATTTTGACCCGAATTTCCGAGTCATACTGGAAGGTTCGTCGCTAAAGCGGAGGATCCTGGACCGTCTTCTGGAGTTCTCGTCTAGCTACTATCAGGCTCAGCTAGGAGTGCGGAACAGGGAAAAAGCGGCAAAGCCATTACTCTTCTCGTGCAAGCTCCGCAAGCTAGGCGCGTGGTCGCCCGAGCGGCTGCGCCAGGAGATTGGCTAGCGAAGATCGCTAGAGACCTTCCCCGGGCTAACAGGGATCCGGTCCACATCTTGAAAAAGAAAGCGTCCGCTAGCGACCAGCTGCTGAGATGTGTGTTTTTCTAGGCAGCGCGGACAGCCATGAGCCTTTTTCCGCCTAAGTCTGTGGCGGAAGGGTTCCGTGACATCGAGGCCGTGCGGGTCCATTACGGGGTCAGCAATGACGTTTGGGCGGTGGCGCACGCTCAGCTGGGTATGCCAGACATGAGGATTTTCTCGGCATTGCCACCGGAGGCCCTTGTGGAGAATGTTATGTTGACCCGGACCAACGACGGTGCCTCTTTGAATCCTACCCAGGCTGTCCAGATTGGGTTCGTATGGCGCTTGTGTCGAAGGTTGGCTTCGATTAGAGGTGCGGCGACTATGATTCTTGGCAAGATGAAGACCCTTGGGCCAAGAAGGCAGCACCTACCCCAGCGACATCCACAGCAGCATCCTCGACTTCTGGACTCAAGGAGAGAGGGATAAAGATGTCATCAATTATCGACCAGTCCGACGACTCGGAGTTCGCCCCGGATTCGCTGGTCATGGCGGACAAGTGGTACCAGAGGTACATTGCAGTGATGGGCGGGGCACCCCAGGAGGATGAGGACTGCACGGTCGAGCAGCTCAGCGCACTTAACAAACGAGTCGGTCTGGCAGCCGTAGCGGAGGCGAGCACTCAAGACGACCAAGTTCCGGGCGTGGATCCCGGACAGACACGGGGCCTACATGGCTCAAGAGCTGCCAGGCCCGGCGAATTATGGACAGTGGCTCTCTTCCTGGAGGGTGTTTCAGACAGCGGCGATCATGCTGGACATCCTCCCCCTGGCCACGCTTCAGCTTTATGAACGGCACGTGGAGAAACTTACCAAACTCTACCCAGCGGCATGGCATTTAGTTGCAATGGCCGATGACAAAGCTCGAAGCTCGCGGTGACAAATGGGCACGACTCCGCTTGAAGATCACGACGGATATCGCGGCGGGCAGGCCAAAGCCCGAGAGGTGGGACGATCGCCGCCCTTGGGTTGGGGCAATGCACCAGCTGGTGGCCGACGGCACGTTCTGGGAAGAGCAAGTGCGGTCCCCAGCCAATGCTTGGATGCCGCGGCGTCCCAAAGAACATGGAGGAGAACTTCCTGGATGAGCTCGCACCGACGGCGACTTCAGCCCGAACAAAAAGCGCACTGCGAAGGAGCGCCGGCAAGCCAAGAAGGCGAAGGTCCAGGCGGACAAGGAGGAGTTGGACAAGCTCCGCGCGCCAGCGGCCTCGATGAGCAGCAAGGGCAAGGGCACGGGCAAGGACGGCAACCTCAAGGCCAAGGACCAGACAGGCACAGATCTTTGTTTCAGTTGGGACTCCGGCAAGGGTCCTTGCGCGAGCTGCGCGCCAGGGGAGCAGTGCAAGGGGGCGCCGCGACGTACCACCCTCTAGAAAGAGGCTTGCTCGAAGAGTTCAGCGGTGGCAGCGCCGAACCGGAAAGGCGCCAAGTTCGCGGAAGCGCTCAGGGTGGCAGAGGACCCGAGTGAACTACAAGAAGCTCTTCAACAGTTCGAGACGGGCTTCTTTGCAGCTTCGAACCTAGCGCCGAGAGCACGCCGCCACCAAGACGCAATAGACCTGGCAACCGCGGTGAATGGGGGCCTCCATCCGTTCCGCCCGGTCCTCATCTATAAGTTCGCGGCGGCTCTCGAGAAGGCAGGCTTCAAGTCGCCCCTGATGAAGTCGGACTACCACCTCAACGAAGACTGCACACAGGCCCAAGGTGCGTAGTCAGGTATCAGGGTGTTCCTGCTGCATGTTGAGTGTTGCTTGTTGTTGTTTGTTAAGTGGGCGTTGTTTTTAGTGCTTTGAGTGTCCACACACTACCGCAGCAGCCAACGGTAGGCGCAATGGGGGTGCTAATCGATGGTGGTACGGTCCCTACTCCGGTAGGTCCCACCGGAGGTTACACCCCTGAAAGGGTAGTTGGCCTGGCAAGCTGGCTACCCTTCCTTTTTTCTGCCCAAGACCGCGAACGAAATTCACGATCTTGCCAACTTGTACGCGATCAGCCAATAATGAAGGTGGCTGGCAACCGCCTGATTACTAAGCGTTCAAGGAGGCATACAACACGACTAAGGTGGGGAGCCGTCAATGTGCGAACTATGCAAACCAGAATCCGTAACAGTGGAGGGGAGTTATGTTTCGAAGGGGCAGACCCGACAAAACCATATCAGATATGTGACCTGCTGGCCACGCATGACATTTCGCTTTGTGCTATGTCGGAAGTACGCTGGAAAGGACAAGGAACGTTATGTGCTGGTGACTACGTGTATCTCTTCTCTGGCTTGCCAGAAGACGCTCCAATGTCCTTATATGGAGTGGCAATCGCTCTCAATCCGGATATGCAGAAGGCGTGGAAAGCAGCTGGTTCCCAAGTTTCTTATTCTAGTGAAAGATTGCTAAAGATCAAGCTCCGTATTGAAGGTAGGATTTTTCATGTTATTTCGGTCTACGCTCCTACATTTCGAGCATCAGAGACGGAGAAAGAATCCTTTTATGCCAAGTTGGCAACACTGACACGTGAATGCAAAGCTAACGAGGAGCTTGTTATTATGGGGGATTTCAATGCTCGAGTGGGTAACAGGGGTCGGGATTTCGCCAAGGGGGAAGATGCAATGACGGGGGATGTTACATCAGATTTGGTATTGGGTGATTTTGGCATGGAAGAACTAAATGACAATGGCAGACTGCTTCTAGATTTCTGTCGTTCTCAGCGTGGATTGCCGTTGCGGGTCATGGACACTTTCTTTCAACATGGCACGTATGGTACGTGGCAACATAATCGAACTAAGCAGTGGCGCCATATCGATCACGTCATCACCTCCGCAAAAACGGCTGCACTTTGCAT